TCTATCTATCTATCTATCTATCTATCTGTCTATCTATCCATCCATTCATCCATCCATCCATCAATGTAATGTAATCCAATCTGTCTACTTCCAATAAGACCATATTTTCTGGAAAGTGCAGTTGGACCATGGTTGTCACTTGTTTTATGTTACATCTAAAACGTTATTATACACTTCTAAAGGTAAAAACCTTTGGTCTCCACAGGTATCCAAAGCCGGACCAGTTACTATCACTGGTGGCAGTTGCCGTGGAGACAGGACGAATGACCCACCCTCATCCAACTGGATTCCTGGGAGCGGTAGCGTCAGCACTTTTCACCGCCTACGCCGTCCAGCGCAGGCCATTGACGACCTGGGGTCTGGGTCTGCTCAACGAGGCCTGTCCAATAGCTAAGGTCTTCGTTCAGAACCGGAGCTTCGCTGTTGAGGAGACGGAAAGAGACTGGGCGTACTTCTGTGACAAGTGGCTGTGGTACGGTACATGGCATATCATGTTTTATACGTATTATATCACAACAGATGCTCTCTGCCTACAGGTACCTGGATTTGAGGGGCATCTCTAACGGGATAGGCCCTGTGATTTGGCCGTCGTCTTATGGCCCGGCTGAGAGGGACGAAGCCTACAAGAGCTTCAGCCTGTCGGGGTGGGCGGGACGCAGCGGCCATGATGCTCCCATGATTGCGCTTGATGCCCTGCTGGCAGCCGGTCCAGACTGGGAAGATCTGATGAGCAGAGCGGGTTTCCATGGAGGTCAGGTATCTTACTGTGTCAGTACTGTGCTGCCATGTCAGAGGAAAGATATAATGCATTGTATGTATAATGTATTTCCTAGCCTCAAATGAACTAATGTGACTTATGATTAATTAATTAGGGAAAAAAGGGAATTTTAAAGTGAATCTGAACCTGATCAATAATTAATTCCTGCAGCTTTATCTGTACCAGCGTCTAACTTTCCTTTCGAGATGCCCGTTGCAGAACCACAGCAATTTAGTGCACACTTAAATCTTAATTTTGTTTTATATCCTCCTTTTCCTCAAGCATCCATCTAGTCACTTTCAATCAGAACACCCATATGGTCTGATGGTCCTAAACCCTAATTGATTTTCATTTTGTTCCTGTCCACAGGGACACACGCCTTCACACATAAGGTGTAAAACTTTAGTGTCGCCGAGTCAGGAATGATTGTTTTACGAGCCTTCGTTTAAAAATCTGCCTCAGAAAACTGCAGTGTGTAATTTCTGTCACCAGATGTTCACGTTGAACAGAGGGGTGATTTTATCTCCGCTGTTGCGCAGTTACTCAGTGTTTGATTTAATACTCGGGTTCCTCTGTCGACAAATAAATGAATCCGGGATAATTTATAAACAACGCCGATTAAGTCAACAGGGTTTTTCAATCTTGGGGTCACGATCCCACGTGGAGTCGCTTCAAACTCAAATTGGGTCACCTGAAAATGACTAATTGAATGAAGAATGACTGATGAAATATTTATTCAACTAATAACTAACAACTGTATAAAGATATTAAAAATTTTAAATTATATGTATATACAATATACGTGTATATATGTATATATACACAGCATATAGTGTAGATCAAGATAGATGGATAGATATAGAATTATATACATGTGTGTATAAGTGTGTCATGTATGTTGCACACATACATATATTTATATTCCTAAAGGTTTTATTTAAAAAAATAGTATTAATTAAAAAAAATATTTTATACATATATACATACATATAAAATAAAATGTACCTTTAGGAATACAAATATATGTATGCAGGAAAAAAAAAAGTCTCTGGGGTTGCTTAAAATGTGTGATGTCAAAATGGGGTCAGAAGCCAAAATAGGTTGGGAACTACCAAGTTAACCAGAACATATTTTTAGTAAAAAATACATTCGTGTATAAAATGTTTCCCCGTTTCTTTCAGGTGACAGCGACAGCACAGCTGTGATCGCCTGCTGCTGCTGGGGTCTCCTCTACGGCACACAGGGAGTCCCTGAAGGCAACTACTGTAATCTGGAGTACAGAGAGCGACTGGAGCGCAGCGCTGAGCAGCTCTACGCTCTGTCCCACTGAGGCTCAGCTGCAGTGAAAGGAAGACAGGCTGCACCCAGAGGTGTGGTCGGTGAAACGTCCGTCTACTTTGGAGCCGCGTCCCTGGGCGACAAACGTATACCTGAGCGATGACGTAACTGTCTGATGGGGGAGAAGTCTAAGCAGACAAAGTCAGTGTGGGGAAAATCAATGACAATGTGAAGACAATGCATATCCGATCACTGGAAAGGTTATTTAAGGAAATTTAAGTTTAATTCTAACATGAAAGAATAAACAAGCCGAAAAAAAACTTTGTAGTTGAGTTGAAAACTTTATTTTTTTATTTTTTTTTTGGTCATTGTTGTTTTAAGATTTTTTTGTCAAACTCCCCCCCCCCTTTTTTAATTATTTACCTACAGGAGAAGGGCAAAGGGTGGTAACTACTGGATCAAGTT